AGTCTTACGATACGTGCAAATTATGTATGGAATGTTCTCTTGGACCTTCAATGTATTTATTTTTCTTGCTTCCAGAGAGAACAAGACTGAGAGTATGACGCGTGCTTCCCCTCGCAATCAGTGCACTTTGGATGATTCTCCCAGTGATCAGTGAGATACTCTTTGCTAGAGCACCTCGCACACGTGTCAGATCCACGACAGCTCCGCGACCCGTGGCCGAACCGCTGGCACTTGAAGCAGCGCAGCGGATTCAGTACGTATGGCCGAACGCGGCAATGCAGGTAACCTGCTTTGACAGCTTGTGAAAGGATGGTCATTGCAAAAGTCAGTACGATGTGTTTTGTTTTGTGTTCCACGCCGTCACGTCGAAGTGTGATGCGCCGTGCACCGATCACACCCAGGCTGGAGAGGCCCTCTACGATTTCTGCTTCTGGAGTTTCTAACAAGTCATCTGAAATTACGCCTTGTACTGTATTTAGTGTGCGGTGAAGGGTTACGCTGACGTTGTAATCGGAGACTGAGGTCAATGCTAGAAGAGCATCACTCTGGATCTTTGTGTGAACCTCTACGAGGAGGTCACCTGATGTCATCCTCTTGGCCTGAAAAGTCTTTCCCACAACACCCTCTAGAGTTTTCATGACAAGAAAAGGGGACAGTTTACTTAGTGGTTTCTCAGTTTCTGAGTGCATCGCCAAAAACTTTGGATACTGCAGAGTAACTACTACTGGAACATCAAGTGTATGTGCTTCGGTGCACACTCTTTTCGAAGCCCGATCGAGGAAGGATTTGTTTTGCAGACCCATAAAGATGGGAAAGTTCAGTGCTCGGGTGCACCGCCCACCACGGAGCCCAACAAGGGAGTAGATAATGTGCCATAGCAAGAAAGGCTTGGCTGACACAATTACTCTACCAGTGCTGTACGGGCACTATACCCTAGTGTGGTTGCAGGGACAGGACCTGTTTCCACTCAAGGTTGGCCCTTGCCACCTAAGGTGAAAAAGGAAGGATGAGAGTGTAGAAGAAAAGAGCTCGCACGGGGGGCCCCGAAGGGTCCAAACATACCCCGGGCTCACCTCAACCACCAGGGTCCCCTTTTCCCCGGACGCGGGTTAAGCCACGCACAGCCAGACGTGGGTGGGCAAACCCACATGGCTCGGGGTTCGTGGTGACATCACTCACCAAGCACTCACCAAGTAGGTGCCCCCTGGGTGCGGGTATGGTGTCCCACGTGGCTGGGGTCCGTGGTGACGCTACTCACAAAACACCTAGCACCTAAGGTGCAGGCGCCCCCTGCGGGGCTCAGGGTCCGTCGAGACGCCACTTCCAAACACCTGCTTTCACAGGTGCCCCTGCGGAGCAAGTATCATGGCCGAACTAGGAATCATGTGGCGATATCTGTATATTATACCCACAGCCTTCGATAGCTTTCTAGATGTCTATTGCACCATATCATTCCAAGTCATGTACTGATTAGAAATTACCCCCAGGACTTTCACACTCTTAACTATATCAATAGTGCCTGTACCCAGCAAAATTACAGACCTAGGACTACAATTTGTGTTTCGAGATCTAAAGCTTCGTTTTATTTACGTTTATTTGCAGGGAATTTGATGATGCCCAAGCATTTAATTGATAAAGATAATGGCTTGCATTGCTTAAAATTTTATATATGTTAACACCGGAAAAAAATATATGCTCGTACCGTCCGCATAATTAATCCAGTTCACATTATTGTCAATATTTACAATGTCAATAATACGCAAGTTGAAGAGGAGTGGCTTTAAAATACTGCCCTGTGGTACAACGGCAGTTAGTGCTCTGAAATATGATCGGTTTTTTTATTCATTTCACCACACTGATGGCGAACACCATAAAGGTATAGTTCCGTAAGTAATGTTTCATGATTTATGCGGTTGAAGGCTTTCGTGAAATCAATGAATATGCTGAGTGTTACCAGCTTCGCTTCGATGTTGCCTAAAGGTAGTTTCTTTTGTTTTAAAAGTGATTCTCAGTCGAACGACCTTTCATAAATCTATATTGACAAAGCAAAATGATTGAAAATTTCTCAAAAAAATTATTAAGCCTTTGATGTATGATTTTCTTTAATCCCTTGGAAAATATGAATAAAATCGAAAAAGGTCGATAATTTCCTAAGTCATTCTTATTACCGGTTTTATATATTACCGTCACATTTGCTATCTGCATTTTTTTCAAAAGGTACCATACATAAGTGCAAAATTTAATATGTGTGTTAAGTATAGTAAAATCGCCCGCAATTATGTTTAATCGGTTTTATTTAAAGGTCGTAGATATCGAAGCTTTTGCTGTTTTTTTTTTAGTTTTGACACGCTGAGAATACTTCCTCGTCGTCGGTTGGGATAAGAAATAAGCTGTCAGAAACACTAAGGATGTATCTGGAGGCAATCTTAGAACACACACTTTGAGCGGGCTTAACAAACTGTTGATTAAATTTCTCAGCTAAAGCTCTATATCGGCGACTTCAGTTTTAATTTTCATGATTGTGCGGCCCATTTTTAAGTATACTATTCAATTTTTTTCATATAACATCAGATCTGTTTACACCTTGAAATAAGTTGTTAAAATAAGAATGTTTTGACTGCCTTAAGGCCCTTGCACATTGATTTCTTTGTTCCTTAAATTTACCCAGCACGCTAACGTCTCTGCTACATACGAATTGATAAAAAGAGTATTTTTCTTATTTATCATTTTTCTTATTTCTGACGTAACCCACGGGTTACGGCGGGTTACGTGACTTGCGGAAAATATTTCGGAGTTGGTAGGGGAAGCAACGGTCATATATCATAATAACCTTATCGAGAAAGTAGTCAAATGCTTCGTCAGCTGATACGCTAGACAACACCACATTCCAGTTCGCAAAAACTATACATTGTTCAAAATGTTGCAAGTTTTTTGTGCTGATGTTTCTAAAAACGATTGAGCAGCAGTGTCTTTTTTTTGTTGAAATTTACATTACTAATCACAAAAATCGAAGGCGATCGCTAATCGTTACCCCGATCATGCCAGCAAGTATCTTTGTAGTGGGAACATTCGTACAGAATAAATCGAGCAACGTGTCATGCAGAGGCGCTATACGAGTAGGCGGTGAAATAACATTAGACAATCTATATGACTGATACAGTGTGTTGTAGCTAAGTGCGTTGTAGCTGAGTGTGTTGTAGCTAAAACGTTCTGGACTCTTGTGAGTTGCATCTTTGCGCTGCCACTGAGCAGACATTTCTACGCTAGACACCGGAGTGTGGGTCTGGTGTTTGCTGCCACTTGCTACTTCTTGTGGCAACAGAGGAACATGGCTGTTGGCCGCCAGCGCCATCTCGGTCTGATGTTCCCGTTGCTGCGTCGGCTCTGGACACTGCTCCTCTCCCACCTCGAGGACGCACTTTTTACCCTTGGGGAGGAGGAGTTTCCCCGGAGGAGGCATGCGGACTTCATTGGCGTTGCAGGCTGCAGAGTGGTGCTACAAGTTTGGTGGTGAATTGATTAATTATGTTTTCACGCACCTTTTCGTAGTGCAGCGGTTGGAGCTGCCCTAGTCTACTTGTTATTTATTTTCTATGTGTCTGTGATCCATTTTTGTCGTCCATGTCCAGATAAACACTGTACATAATTGTATCGCTCCCGGAAGGTCGATATCTAGTCGTTATTTACGTTCGCAAGCATCCTCTTTGTGCCTCACGTTTCCTCCTTTTATTTGTGTACTGTTGTCCCAACTTGTAAATAAATTTCTCTCTCCAGTAACACTTTGAGCTTAGACACGACAGAGCCGGTCGCCGTCAAAGTAGGGATTCGGCAAGGCTGCCCACTCAACGGGCTCCTTTTTAACCTTGTGCTGAACCCAGTGATCCGGGCGGTGCAGGGAGGCCAACGGCAGCATAAAATCCTGGCCTATGCCGACGGCCTCACTTCTATTAGAAGCATCCCTACAGAACTTCAAACAAGAATCAACGCTGCCACCGCGCTGTCCTCCAGGATCGGGCTCTAGCTGAGCCCATTCACGTGCCGGACCCTTCACTTGACGGGGCAGCATCCTGTAGGCACGAGGCCTACAATGTTCCGCATCGTGGAAGCAGAAATCTCCCACATTACCGACTTCGAGCTGCACACTTTCCTAGGCCGCCCCGTGTGGAGATGCCTGCTGTCATCAATGCTGGCTCCCTGGCAGAGGCTGGCCGCCATTAGAACATTCCTTTACCCAACCCTGAACTTTGCCACGAGAGTTGGGGCCATGGAAAAGGAGGAATGGACTTGTTCCAAAACCGAGGCGCCCCACTGCGACAAAATTCCACGCAAGGAATTCTGGGAACTAGTTGGCCCATGAGGTTTCGGTTCCGATCTCTCGAGCAGCCGTGTTCAGCCGTGTCGTTTTGTGGCATCGTTTGTCGGATTCTTGGTTTCGCCCGTATACGTCCCTCGATCCCTCGCAGTTTCTATCGCCGGCTCTCCTGTTCGACAACCCTCAGATGAGATCTCGCCCAAGAGGTAAGCAATGTTTTCACTACTTTTGTTGCCGTTCTCGGGTTAGCAGCTGTTGTTAAACGCTATCTCACGCTGCTCACGTAATAACATCCTAAGCCTTGTGGACTCGAACTTATTCTAACGTGCGATCCGACTTTCTAGACGCATTTTCTAAACAGCGGAGACGCGTGAAATGTTAGCCGAACTGCACGTATCCACCTACATGTAACTACAGGACCTGAGATGTATTAACCCGCTGCTGTGGCGTGAGTGGGGATCATAAATGTACCGCCCGTCGAGGTACAGCTCGTGCACCGAAAGTGAGGGGCGTTTTTGGAGTTGATATCGACTTGCTTCGACAGGCGGTGCGAACGTAAGCGCTGCGGAGACCGCTTGTCGGATCTGAGCGCTTGGTCGGTCAGGTGCGCTCGGTGTGCTTGTGTATACCCTCCCCCGCGCGTCACGCTGCGGAGACCGCTTATCGGATCTGAGAGCTGGTTCGGTCAGGTGTGCTTGTGTGGACCCTCCAATCGCGCGTCACATCTGATCGTCCTGCAGTTTGCTGTTCCCACTACGTGTGGTTCCAGATATCCAGCCTATGCGCACAGAACGCCCCCGTGTAATAGGATATGGGCTGAAACGAATTCGTTTTCGAAGATGGTTGTGAAATATGTTAGTTATATTGTATTTGGGGAATGTGGAAAGTGGACTTGGACATCCCACAGTCCGATGACGTTAAAGGATTGAGTGTTCACACTATAAGCCTCATTGAATATTGGTCCTTATATGTAGCTGGGGAATTTTCTCTAATCAGACGAGGCGACAGTCTAGGTAACCGGGATCGGTTGCTATGATGTACAGTTCTGTTGGTTGAGTGAGACCTCACATTACAAGTGTCTACTCGGGTACGGCTTCCATTTAATATATGTGAATGCACACGACTGTGCTGTGCAGCACTTGCGTGGTTGTGACCTGGGTGAGTAACCTCTGCTCTTTCTTCCTAGGGCAATGGGTAGGAGTTCAAAAAAGTGGAACTACGTGCTGCATTCCAGGATGCCACCACAACAACATGTGCAATAGGAACGTATCATGGCACATCTTTCCAAAAGACAGCCACATTCGACAGCTGTGGATCCAGGCCATTGTAGAGAAGACAGTGTTACCTCAGAGCTGGGAGCCTAAGCCTAGCTACAAGGTCTGTGGTTGCCACTTCAATCCAAGTTCCCCAATTCCTTGAGCCAGGCACATTTTCTGTGGTCACCAACAAAGCTGTAGGTATGTACTTGTCAGTGCTAAGATTCAGCGTTTTTATTAATTTATATCCTTCATGCCCATTACAGAAAGTCCCACTGAGGTCATTGCCGCTGCGGCAGAGCCAATGTCCCCGGTGCCAGCCTTGAGTGTGAGCAGCACCACAACTAACGACTCAGTCGGTAAGTCCTTTGCGTGAACAGCATACTTAAAAAGGTATCATCTGGTTTTGAGGCATGTCCGCACTTCACTTTAGTTTGTGTCAATGGTTCATTTTCTAGAACTTAATAGGCAATGACCAGAGTGAACAGGGACAACCTGTAGGAAATCCAATGGTGACGAACGGCACTGCTTCGTTTCTCTTCTTTCTGTGTCACCGAAGGTTTTCTTTCGAGCTTAGATTTATCGATGTTTATTGTTTGGAAGAATTTGTAGATATTGATCTATATTTGTTTTGTTTCAAAAAATCTAGGTGCATTTTAGTGATTACCAGACATAGATGCTTAAATATACTTTTATCAGTGATTAAAGTTTACTGTGCTTCTGGTTTGTGCCATCCTTCACCATCTTCACCATATACTGCACAAGCAATATGGCGCAGTGAGTCCACGATCCTTTACCCTTATTGCGACGCTCTAAGTTTCATACTCGTAGTGCACCAGCTATTCGACCATTACGGCCAAGGAGCACCCTGCGCCTTTTCCTCAAATATCCATCAGTCGCGAACTGCACAAGTCGCGCACCTCTGTCTTTTACCACGGTGCTACGCAGAGATACTTGCCGCGACCTCCAACATATTTTTTAAAAGTTTTTGGCAGATCAACATTGAAAAAGTACATGTTTTGGAGCACCTGGAAGCCCACCAACTGCAAGGCGTTGGTTTGAGTAGCAGCTGACAGGGTAATGGCCACGGCAGGATTGCGGCTTCAGCACTTTGGGTAGTTTGGTAACTTTGAAGTCAGGTTTTCGCGCTGTTCTTGACATTCGGCATACCTAGATGCAGCACCTATCCTTTTTCATAAATGCGCAGAAGGCTAACTAGCTCAAACCAGCTTAAGTTACTCGGAGTTACTATGGGTACAAGCATTTATGAACAAACTACCTTCTAGTATTCTAAATTTAAGAAACAAATACAAGCTCAAGAAAGCCCTGAGAAATATTAGTTTGTAAGTACTCACTAGTTTGCTTTTGTCATTCTAATTTCTTTGTGTGGATTTTGTTTTACATGTTTCATTTTGCAAACGGCTTGTTTCAGTGATTGTAAGACTCTGCCAGTCAAGCCCAATGTAGCTTAGCCAGATCTGAATTAACATATGTTTTGTTCATTTGCAATAAAATTATTATTATATAAAAAAGAAAGCAACAGCAATGTCACGGATTGCTTAGAAGCAACTGACGCTTCAACAAAATGTATGTACAGACGGGGGCAAAAGTGTGGACACCACGGGAGAAGCTGCAGAAATGCATCGCTGCTCCACCTCAAGGTGATACCTGCTGTCGAGAGCTACGCTCGGCACACTCTTTTTGCATGTTTTCACTGGGCCCTGACTCTGTTCTGGCAAGTTTGTTTGCCTGCTTCAAACTGGCATGCAATTGCTTGTCGATGCATACGGCTAAAGGGCTCGCTTCGTTCAGGAGCTTGCTCTGCAGTGTGAGTGCTCTCTGAAACACGCTGACACACGATTTGGTGACGTCTCACCTTAAACAATTTAAGAGCACTTGCAGATAATGGGAAGGAGGCTTAAAGCATGTCGAACAAAGCACCTGCAATTATCTTTTCTACATGTCGTGACACTGAACGATGTAAGAATGTCACCGCCTCAGGTAGCCGAAAGCGAGTGAAAGAACTTGGCGAAAGAGAACCAGCACCTTGCCAGAACATGCAAAAGGAACGTGCCAAGCATAGCTCTCGATAGCAGGTGCTAACGTGAGGTGGGGCAGCGATGCATTTTTGCGGCAGCTCTCGTGGTATCCACACTTTTGCTCCCGTCTGTACGTGCTCTGCAGCACCAAGCCTCTGCGCCCTGGAGCATAGACTTATGCACCTGTTATAAGAGACGTCAACCACACCATCGACAAATTTGTCGATGATCTGCAACCTCGCCTGTCTTGCGCTCCATAGGCATTGAAATAAATTCTTATCTTGCCATTTGCAGGTCTGCTTTGGGACTCCGTGAGCTTTCCAACGTGTGTTTCGCACGAAATAACCATGGAGTGTGAGGATACATCTTCAAGAGCTTCTGGTGTTGAGGAACAGAGCACAAGTGAGTGTTCTTAGCATTTTGGCAAGTCAAAACACAGGTTGCTCTAAATACGGGAAGAGGCAAGGCTAAGTAAAGACAGATATAGGGATTATTGTACTTTGTTTATTATTGAACACCATCTCTGCTGATTTGACACGATGTCGCAGGACATGCTCAAGTCGCTTTTGAGATAGATCGGGTAGCTGTTGATGCAACGAAGTCAGTTGGACGAAACTCAAACCTTTTTTTCTTTTTGCAGTCTGCTTCCAGGTGGCCTAGCCACTTGCAGTGCCGGCCTTTCGCTTCTTTGGTCGGGCACTGTTACCACCTTTTTTTCTGCGAAGCCTGCAATTTTTCATGGTGGAAGTAGACAGAAACACCTAGTCTCCCGAATTAGGCTTGAAAAGAATACCTCTTCAATGATCCTTCTCAACCTTTGCATCAGCGACCATGTGGAAGGTATCTTTTGCTTCCTGGAAAAATGTGGTTCAGGCTTGCACGGCATCTTCGTAATTGCGGGCCCCAGCCTTGCTTTCTTCAGTTAAAGCTTGGGACATCGGTAGAACTTGCTTTTATTGGACATGGCAAGATCAGAATACTTGCAAGGCAGCACTGCGAGAATACACTCTTATGCTATCAAGCATGTTCTCAATGCAACAAACATATGTCGTCATCAACAGTTGACCTTTTCATTACAGCATTTCACCAGACAGCTTAACTTGTCTTGTTCCATACTATTAGACATTCAATGGTGCAGTCAATGTCAACCTTAACTCGTCACTGTGAGCTCACGGAAGGTGCTCACACCTTTTACCCATGGCCATTGAACTAACTGGATCAAGAGAAATAGAAATAATGGTACTAAAATAAGTCTGCTTTGCTCTTTTTTAGCCCTTAGTGCTAGTTGGATATCTGTAGCTAAGATGACAGACAATTAAAACGTATCGCCCTAGTTGGTTCATGATGCAGTCTAGAAGTTTTTGTGCGACACAAGGGACAGTCTCAAGGAAGTAGACACGGACAGTCCGTGTGTACTGCCTTGTGATTGTCTCTTGTGTTGTGCAAAAACTTCTAGACTGCAAGATGACAGACATCACCCATGTTATGAATTGAGCACAAACTGCCTTTCTTGTGGTCGCAAGCTATTTTTGACCGTAGAATGTTTCAATAACAACCTCTAAGTCTATTATTTCATGTAAGTTATGCTAGTTTTATTTTTGTGCGTGTGTGCATCCTAGTGTTTTCTTTTTCATTCAAAAAGCATGCTTTTTTTTTCTTTATTACACCTGGTAGTGTATATTCCAGTTTTAAAACTCATATAGGGTGCCTCAGTCTAGAGAAGAATGCACTAAAGTCGACCCTTAAAGTTGGCACCTGCATGTCACAAGCTCCCATTTTTATCAGAGGTGTATTTTGTAGGTGCATTTTACCCTCTGAAATCATAGCTGTTCCTGTTAAAGGTTAGAACAACATTCTCAGAGATCTAAAACATGTGTCTGCCATAGACAACCAAGTTTTTCGCCGGTAGGCTCTGTCATCTGTGTTGGAGTACACAGGAATGGAGCAAAAGCGTTACGAACTTGAAACAGGAATGAAGTTACGCCTTGAGATTTTATATTGTAAAATGAACCTACAAAATGGATCCCTGGTGAAAATGGTAGTCGTTACGCCTATTTTTTTTTTATTGATTTTAGCTCGTTATTTAATACCTTGAGGCACTCCATATAAAGAATGTTGTTGAGAGGGACCATGCATGGTATACACTGTAAATCTCGCTCCTATCAAACGAGATCAACCATTTTGGGGTTTCTACTTGTGATGTTGCTTGTAGAACGTCATAAATAAGCTACCTATGCTTCTTTTAAATGCATTTTTTTGCTGCAGGTCCAGGAGCTTTGCCCTCTGTAGTCATTGCCATATTTTTATATAACCATTTGCAGGACTGCTGTGGGACTCCATGGACTTTCCCATGCCTGTTTCACTTGAAATGACAAGGTGTGAAGATGTGCCCTCAAGAGCTCCTGGTGCTGGGGAACACGACTCGGGTGAGTCTCCTTAGCTTTTTGGCAAGTCAACATCCATGCTTCCGTCAAATACGGGGTTGGTTTTGTCTTGTTTGTTGTTAACGCAATCTGTCCTATTATATAAATTCTGCCTCACATGCAGGTCAAGCGATGCAATAGCCAAATGTAGTTAACAAGCACTCGGGGCTTCCTTTTAGTTCTGCGTTTGAATGAGGTGATATTGTCACGGATGACAAGTGATGAGGCGACGAAAACTGAAGTAAACTAAACGTTTAATGGGGGCGAACTTGTGCCCAAATTAATAAAAGGAAAAGGAAACAGAAGAAAGCAGGAGAGCGTCGCAAGCGTCGATGTCGGCTAAACCGCAGGATCGAGCGCTGGAGCGAGACTGAGTCCGGTTCGCCACGCTGCGGCCCTTATGTACATGCATGAGCTTCTGGAATTATCGGCGTAGAATGTTCGACGCGTAGAACATTCGGATCTCGAACACGCAACATGATTCTCGAATCTACCAGAAAACTAAATTGCAGGAATAACCAAAGGTCTAGCGCTCCCAGGAATCGAATCCTAGCTTTTTGCGTGGGAGCCAGGTACGATAACCGTTAGGCCATGCGCGCGCTGCCCACTTGGCCAGCTGCGCACGCGGCATTACTCCCCCCTTTAAAAAGTGCATCGCCCCGATGCAACGCAAGACAAACAAAATAAAAAAGAACGATAAACTAAAGAGTCCTTTGGAGCACATAAGGTCCACAGTCCTATCGAGCGTAGTACAGGTTCAGGCGCACGACGTGGACGACCTCAGGTCGTGGTGGGCGGTGTGCCGATGTTCGTGTTCCGTCGGGCATCACCTCGTAGTCCAGCTCGCCGAGGCGACCAAGTACCTTGTATGGGCCAAAGTACCGTTTCAGCAGTTTCTCACTGAGGCCGCGGCGACGGATGGGCATCCACACCCACACCCGGTCTCCAGGCTGGAAGTGAACGTCCCGGCGACGAAGGTTATAGTGGCGTGCGTCGACTTGCTGTTGGTCATGAATCTTGATTCTTGCCAGTTGGCGAGCTTCTTCCGCGCGTTGCGAGATCAGTTGAGCATCGTCGTTGCCATCGTCGGCTGGCACGTGAGGCAGCATGGCGTCGAGTATTGTGGTAACCGTCCGGCCGTGTACCAGTTGGAACGGTGTCATTCCCGTGGTTTCTTGCACCGCTGTGTTGTGCGCAAATGTGACGTACGGCAACACCTCGTCCCATGTTTTGTGCTCTACGTCGACGTACATGGAGATCATGTCGGCGATCGTCTTGTTGAGCCGCTCCGTTAGCCCGTTGGTCTGCGGATGATAAGCGGTTGTTCGTCGATGGCTGGTATGACTGAGCCGAAGAACTTCTTGAGTCAGCATGAAGGATGACCCGCGATCTGTGATCAGCACTTCAGGTGCGCCGTGTCGAAGGAGAATAGACTCAACAAAAAACTTGGCGACTTCTACCGCTGTTCCCGATGGCAGGGCTTTCGTCTCGGCAAATCGTGTAAAGTAATCGGTCGCGACGATAATCCACCGATTTCCTTGCGTCGATGCTGGGAACAGCCCAAATAAATACATTCCGACCTGCTGGAAGGGCGTAGTCGGTGCAGGTATCGGCTGCAGGAGTCCTACTGGCTTCGTCGGAGGCTTCTTACGTCGTTGGCACTGATGGCACGACCGTGTGTACAGGTGGACTGTTTTCGGGAGTCTCGGCCAGTAATACTTGTCATGAATCCGGGCGAGCATGTCCTGCTGTAGCCAAGGTGTCCAGCCGTCAGGTCGTCATGGCATGCTTGAAAGATTTCTTCACGCAGGCTGACCGGAACAACCAGCAGCCAGGCAGGGTTGCTCGTTCCGAAGTTCTTCTTGAAGAGCACGCCTCGCCGCAGAACCAAGCTTTGCAAGTCTCGGGCCAAGACTCGCGGAACTGAGCTTCCTTGACCTTCGAGGTGGTCGATCATGGCGCGAAGTTCGGGGTCGTCTCGTTGAAGTGCTCCCATGTCGGTATCTGTAATTGCTCCAAGAAAACGGGCGTCATCATCGTCGTCGGTTGCTGTCGAGAGGAGATTCGAATGGGGCCCTAGACAAACAATCGGCATCATTATGCTTGCGGCCAGACTTGTGCACAATGGTCATGTCGAATTCTTGCAGTCGAAGGCTCCAGCGAGCCAGCAGAGAGCGTGGTGGTTTGTGACAACGCGGAACGGGATCCCGTACAGGTACGGGCGAAACTTGGTTAACGCCCAGACGACAGCGAGACATTCCTTGTCGGTTGCCGAGTAATTTTTCCCTGCCTTGGACAGTGCCCGGCCTGCGTAAGCGATCACCCTCTCTGCTCAGTCTTGTCTTTGGACGAGCACCGCACCTAGCCCGGCGTTGCTGGTGTATGTGTGAACTTCCGTTTCCATTGATGGATCGAAGTGTCCGACGATAGGGGGCGACTGGAGTCTTTCCTTCAGTTCGTTGAACGCGTGTTCTTGCTCCTCCCCCCACTGGAAGTTCACGTCGTCCTTTGTCAGATGCGTGAGCGGTGCAGAAATCGTGGCAAAATCGCGAACGAAACGTCTGTAGTATGCGCACAGCCCAAGAAATCTTCGTACGGCTTTCTTGTCTGATGGCTTCGGAAATTCGGCGACAGCGGATGTTTTTGCAGGGTCAGGACTTACACCTTGAGCACTCACGACATGGCCCAGGAATTTGAGCTCACCGTAAGCGAACCGACATTTTGACGGCTTCAGTGTCAGTCCGGCATTCTGGATAGCCTGTAGCACGGCTCGCAAACGTCTGAGGTGCTCGTCAAAGTCGCTGGCGAATACCACGACGTCGTCGAGATAGACGAGACAACTTTGCCATTTCAAGCCGGAAAGAATGGTGTCCATTACGTGCTGAAACGTCGCCGGTGCTGTGCATAGTCTGAAGGGCATCACTTTGAATTCGTACAGACCGTCCGGTGTGACGAAGGCAGTCTTTTCACGATCTCATTCGTCGACCTCGATCTGCCAGTACCCACTCTTCAGGTCCATTGACGAAAAGTATCGGACGTGGCACAGCCGGTCCAGGGTGTCGTCAATGCGTGGCAGCGGGTAGACGTCCTTTTTGGTTATAGCGTTCAGTCGGCGATAGTCCACGCAGAACCAAAGAGTCCCGTCTTTCTTTTTCACGAGGACTACCGGTGAGGCCCACAAGCTGCTTGAGGGCTGGACAATGTAGTCATCGAGCATTTCTTGGACCTGCTTCTGGATGACTTCTCTCTCTTTCACAGAGAAACGGTACGGTGACCGATGAACAGGAAGCGTGTCGTCTTCAGTAACAATTCTATGTTTCGCAACGGTCGTTTGGCGCACCTATGATGACGTGGAGAAGCACTCAATGAACTCGGCGAGAGGGTCGCTGAGTTGTCGTCGTTGTGGGGCAGGCAGGGTTAGGTCGATGTCAAACTGCGAAGGCGGCGTTGTCTTGGGTGGCCATGAAGAGAGGTCTTCTGATATTCCGGCGATTGCGGCTGAGTCCGGGAGTTCCTCGGCGTGACCCACGGCGGTGCCTTTCGTAAGGTGCTGAGCCTCCTGTCGGAAGTTCGTTATGAGTGCGACAGTGTGTCCGTCTTGGAGCTCCATGACGCCTCTTGCGATGCCGATCCCTCTTCCTAGAAGCAACTGGAGGTTTCCTTCGAGCAAAATGTCGCCGCAGAAAGTCTCGTCAACCCTGACGGGTACAAAGCACTTGACCGCAGTGGTAGGTTCACGTGGTTTGCAAGGATTCGTACCGCGGATGACGTCGCTTTGGGTTCCTCCGGTGATGGAGCAGGTTTTCGCGTAGAACATTCGGACCTCGAACACGCAACATGATTCTCGAATCTACCAGAAAACTAAATTGCAGGAATAACCAAATGTCTAGCGCTCCCAGGAATCGAACCCTGGCTTTTTGCGTGGGAGCCAGGTACGATAACCAATAAACCACGCGCGCACTGCCTACTTGGCCAGCTGCGCGCGCGGCAATATGGGATAAACTAAAATTACATAAAAGCACTTGAAACGGTTGGGGTTCTGACCTATGCTTTGCCATTTTGTGGCACCCCCTGTGCCCTTACAACCCCCAAAGTGAGGCAGTGGCAGGGCTTTTTACCCTCCATACATTTGCGTTACCTCTTCAAGGGCGTCAATCACTCGGCAATATACATAGAAAATCACAAAATTTGAAGTGTTGCAATGTTGTTTTCAGAAGAGCATGGTACAGAGCCTCGATCATCCACCCCTGTTGGACAAGACGGTACAGCTCCTCATTCAGAAGAATGTCAACATCCTGTGAAGAAGCAAGGTGGTCGGGAAACGGTGAAGCAAGGTAGGGTGACTTTCAAGGAGCTTTTCTTGCAAAATATATTTGTTGCAAGCATGAGGAGCATATGTGCAGGGAAAAAATTGTCAAAATGAAAGAGCAAGGATATCTCTCATTAAAGTGACTTATGGCCCGTTATAGCATGTCGACTCTCACATGACGGCACTCCATGTATGAATTATCCGAGTGAAGAAGGCCTCTACAAACAAAAAAATTATTTAACGAAGGTACCTGCTCATTACCGTGCGACAAGCTCAAAGTATGTAACTGAACTGAACGACTGTTGATCATTCTTTGTTTCAGTTGAGCAATGTGTTCACCAAAGAAAGGTTGCAACACTTGAAGGCACGATCGAGCAGCAAAAGCGTCACATCGTGAGGCTCCAGGAAAGCCTGGCAAAGGAGCGTAATGGTCACGAACAGAGGGTTCAAGAGCTCCTCAAAGAAAACGAGCAGCACAAGCTGCGTATCTGCCACCTCGAAGGCAGGCTTGCAGAAGGCGTGAAGCAGACCTCTGAGAAAACAAATGTGTCGTTCACCGTGCAGCTCATGTCGGACGTTGAAAGGCTCCGGTTCTACACGGGCTTCAGCTCTGTTGAACGATTTCAGCGTTTTGTTGAGTTTGTGTCTGATGGATACAAGGTGCACAAGGAGGGCCAAACCGGAAAGGGTAGGCCACCGACATTTTCAGTTGAGGATCAGCTGATCCTCGTTCTCAGTCGTTTGCGACTAGGGCTGCTTGAAAAGGACCTGGCTTATCGTTATCAGGTTAGCCTGAGCACCATCAGCAGGTTATGTACCTTTTGGGTCCAGTTTCTAGCCGACTATCTAGAGTGCACCCCCGTCTGGCCTTCCCGACAAGTAGTCGATGAATGCATGCCTTCGGTATTTAAGGAACTTTATCCCACCACACGTGTCATTTTGGATTGTACAGAGTTGTACATTGAAGCCCCCAGTGATTTCCGCACACAGAGCGATACTTTCTCAGCATACAAATCGCACAATACAGCAAAGGGGTTATTAGGAATTTCACCGAACGGATTTGTCAGCTTTGTCAGTGACCTGGCTCCGGGAAGGATGTCTGACAAGATGCTGATGCAGAACAGCGGACTTTACCGTCTCCTGGAAGCAGGAGATTCTGTTATGGCCGATAGAGGTTTCCTAATTGAGGAAGAGCTGAAGGAGCGGAATGTTGAGTTAAACATTCCACCTTTCCTCAGCGGAAAACCCCAACTGTCCTGAGAGGACGAAATGAAAACACGGAAAATTGCTAAAGTTCGGGTGCATGTGGAGCGAGTTATTGCTCAAGTGAAGTCATTCACAATTCTAAAGTTTGTTTTTCGCAATTCCATGTCCCAGTTGCTAAACCCCACCTGGAAAGTATGCACGTTGCTGTGCAATTTTACTTCCGACCCACTTCTCGATAGGTCTGAGGACTTGCGCTAACCCGATTCCGGCTTGTGCAGTCAAAATGTTGGCACCGATGTCTTTTTCATTGTGTATTTTCCCAAGTTTTATGTAGATAATTGGCTTCTTTTGTTATTGCTTGATACACAACACATCCATTTCTCTCCACAAATATGTTTTAAGTTTTTCATTTGTGGTAAATATGTAAAGCAAAGTTTGTTTGTTTTTTCTAAAGAAGAATGCTTTTTTAAAAGGCTCGAGGTACACCTAAGCACTTCTTACGATTTTTGAATGCGAAAGCATGAATGTCGTTCATGCTTCGTGGCTTCAGTTCATTCTGTTGAAACGGAAATTTAGCTGCCGGTTAACGCGGCTTGAAAGCTGGGAGGCTTCAGATCGCGGCTTCACTTTGCTCCATTGGGGGGGGGGGGGGGGAATTTAGCTGCTGTTTGGCTCGGCTTCAAAGCTGATGACGTTGGCTCGCTCCATGGGACAGTTAATGCTTTTGCATTTATAAACCATCTAAATATTGTTTGCTGTATTGTGCGATTTGCATGTATCTTGCGGCAATATTTACACAAGTTGGTTCATGGCCATTTTGATAGTGACTTTGTATATTCTAGAAATGTTTGTGTGCCGGCTCGCATTTATAGCACTATTGCATATTTGACTTCCCCTTTCCGGAGAAAACGTCGCCATTAGAGAGATTTATTTTTTAACAATGTGGGTTTCGTTTTTATTTATTCTTATACAGCCTCTGCTCTGTGCTTATTTTGTATGGTCTGTACCTTTTAACCAAGGGCTTGGTGTGTTATTCTGACTGACAGAGCAGCATCGTTTCTGTTCCTTAATGTTTGTGTGCTACCATTCCGAGAACAAGTGTTCATATGGGGTACCTCATAGATACACTATTATTATTATTACGGTGCATGTACTGCATTGGTCCCAACGAGTTTTGCGGGCATTGTGCTGTGGCCTGATCCCATCCTTTACATGAAATAACAAACAAGGAGAGACCACGATAATAGTACTTCTAATTGTATTTTGAAACGTGTGTTTTCGTGCATTTTTTTTATGGTCCCTAACTGTCGCGTTTATTGTGGAGCTATGGTAATTGCATTTCTTTATCAGGGTGGCCGCAGTTTTTCTATCCTCCCAGTGCCCATATGGCAGGTGCGCTTGCAAATGCTGTGCATGCGTGGTGCAACAAACTGTTCCTTCCTGACGCACGGTGATGTTTCACGGTGCACCTGCTGGGTGGGCATTAAGAAGACAGAAAAATCATGGCCCGCCTGTTATACATTGTTTCACCTTGCAACGGACTGTAGCGGACGCAACGGGCCATCTAAGCCAATTCAAGGCCATGTGAGTGGAATGGACCCTCTGGAGACATGCAGTAGCTTGTGAGGAGTGAAGACGTGAAGCGCTTAGAGTATGGGATTGTCTGGAATGGCTATAAGGATCCACTCCAGTCCCTTATAAGGTGAAACGAAGTATAGCTGAGTGAGATTACCATAGTATGTATATTAGTATCATGTCACAGAACTAGGTTAAACCTTGAAGTGGTTTTGGTTTGGCTGTTCTACCCTCAATTGTGGGAGTGAATATTATGCACTCCACAAAATAGATGTTTAATCTTGATCAAATTCACTTAAAAAATTAGGAGCATTCATTTTCTTTGTTTACGCTCGTCCTCTTGTGGAAGTCTAATAGAGCAGGCAGCATGGTTAGCTCCCATAAGTCCTTATTGAACTGTATTCGCTGGACGAATGGACTTCCGCTGCCACTGTCCACTACAAGGTCGCACCACAGAAGTCCAGTCAGAGCCAGTTGACCCTGTATCTGGTAGTAATGGTTGTGGTGAGTCTTGAGCTGGCCATCCTTCAAAAGTGATGCAGCCATTCCTCGAGAAATTGCTTCTGTTGTACTTATTTTTTGTTCTTTGGCCTTTGCCAGTGTTTTGACCTCAACAAGGCCGTACTCTTGAACGGCTTTGTCGTACACTAGCCCATCGGGCGACGCACCCAGGATTGCAATCCCCGGGTTGATGCAGAGGCCAACAGGGAAAACCTGCACTCCTTGCTCTTCTTGGTACCTACTGATGGCTGCAGGTTCATTCTCTGTACCCATTTTCATGTACTTCGTGGGCCGGAATCCTGCTTTTGAATAAACACTCGAAATAAATGCCTCGTTGAGGTCACTCTTTCTTCTGATGATGTCCCCAAAATGTGAGGCAGTGATTCAGTTGCCCCTTTCAGTGCGCCACAGCTGGACGGCACTTTGTCCTCGTGTCCGAGTTTCCAGCTCTTGTGCTTGTGCTAAGGTCAAGCTGTGAGTTTGCCATGCCTGTGCATTGCTGTGTTGTTCCCAAAGCGCGGCTGTGGGCAGCTTCAAGGGTGCTTCCAGTGGTGCTGCACTAGGCTGCTGCTCTGTCTTTTCCACAGGCTTGTAGTTTGACTCTATCAGGATCATGGCATGCATCTGAGATTCCTTCCTGGTCCTGATGCTGTCAGCAAGCCTCTTTAATGCGGCTTCTGAAGGTCTTGCAGCTGGCTGAGACCTTTTCTGCATTGGCATCCGCTTCGTCTTCCCTGGCACATGCCTGTGAAACAGGAGATTCGAGAAGTCTTTTTGCTGCAGGTTTCTTTGCCCACTACTACGACCCCACTGTTGCAGTCGTTCTGTGCATGCAGTAGTGTCTGGGATGAAGAGATGTCCTGCACGTACAACATCCAGCAGGAACCAGAGAAGAGCACCGATGTGCTTGCACACACCTCCGAGTCCAGCTGGGCACGTGCAACGACCAGATGTAACTGTCGCATTTGGTGAAATCACTACAGAAACTTTATATTCCTTCCTCAAAGTAAACGAAGCTTCCACATACGACTTTACCGTAGTGTCGTGCACTCCATGATGCAGCAGGACGTTGTGCACCTTCTCTGCTTTGTGCATACGATACCCTTGGGTGTAGTGCTTACTAGCACCAGCAGCAGACTGGTAGTCCAAAATTGAGGCCTCGCAGAACATTGCAGGGAAGCTTTTTATCTGTTTTGTCCATGGTCCTGCTGGTAGCTGTGGTGGAGTGGCGGTGACGCACCTAAAAAATAAAATGACACTTAAGGCTACCATTCTAACAAAAAATAATACATATGTATGATCACAGCTGTACTGCAGACAGTGCAGCAACAGGGGAGGTAGTCAACTGCATGCATGCATTGTGTGCTTTTCCAGTCTGCTTCTGTGAATCACGCCTATATGTAATGCATAGTAAACGTCGCAGGTCGGCAGTATCGCTTGGTGTAGGTCTTCCTTAATCACATTTAATTCTGCTATTTTAGGGGGTCGTGGCTTGCGGATCAGCCTTCCACTACAGCTTACTAAGAACACACGGCCCACAGCATACCGGATGCGTATAACCGTGATCCACGTGAAGGTCTTATTTTCAAATGCCAGCCGCGTTGGTGGTTCTGTGGTGACACTCGAGCTGATCGCAGGCGGCTCGAATCCGGGTACACGCGCACGGAGTACGACGATATGAGATTGCGATCATGTACCAAGGTCTTTATTTATATTTTTTTTTCCGTTCTTCTATTGCGCACGTAAGAATGCGCCAAGGTGTTTGAAATTAATCTTCGCTCTTCGCTGCCCGTTTCATAACCTGAACACAAGTCTACGCTCCGCTTACGTCGAACGCTACTTGCCGATCGCGTTGGCGTAGGACCTACCCGACGCGATCGGTAAGTGATTAAAATCTAATTGTTTTGTTTTTCAATCACTTGCCGATTCTGTTAGACTTAATTATGCAGAATGGAGCTCATACTACAATGTTCATAAAGAGCTTAGTAGCGTACTGTGAAATGCGGTTGTGGTTCATCGTATCGACAACTGCTGCGCCCACTTGGTGCTTGGGAAATGAAAACCGCTGCAGCGCTGTTCTAAGTTTACAGGAAGTCTTCCCTGCAGCTTGTGTGATAATTTTGTCAGAGTGACATCCTTTGGACACGCGTAAATGACACGTTTCAACACGAAAAGTACAGATCCCCTCGTAAAACGAAAGTGTCGATCGGTTCCGGCACAGACTTCGACCTCTGTTTTTGTCTGAGATCCCGGTTTGTCACGTCTGCGGGTCATTTACAGCTATCACTACAGGCTATTGAGTAATTAAAAGGATACTTACTGCATGGACGCTGCGATGTAACCTCCAGGTCGCGTGCACAGTTCGCGGTCGGCTGGCACTCCGGAGCGCGGCTCACGTCGACGCCGTGATCGAAACCGGAACTGTATACGGCACGCCGCTCCACCTCACTCCCTGGCCAACTAGTTCCCAGCATGCAACGGGCGGAGCGTTGCATGTTGGGGTTTATGGAAGTAGTCCATTGGCGCCACCTAGACAACACCCTGTGGCCCTTTATCAAACGAACGCTGTAGCTGCCAGCAAACTTTTAAACAAATACCTCTACGTGAGTGCAGGTGCAGAAGCCGCAGGGATTCCGGAAGCAGCAGACATAAGCGACGCGTGCCTAATTGACGGCGCGTTCGAGCTGCTTTCGCCGCAAGCCAGCGAGGTGCATAAAGTGGCACTGCAGGCGGTGACCAGGGTAACGGAGAAGCGGCTCAGGAGAACAGTCGCAGAAGACGTGGCGGCCTACCTGTCTGGAAACACCGAAGGCGACTTTAGAGCAACACTAACGCAGCTCTAGTCGGTGTGGACGGAGGCCCGCAAAGCCTCCCAACGCGCCACAGCCTACTAAGGACGGGTTGGAGCCACAGCCTACTAAGGAGCCAAGATCGCCAGCGGAGGAGCCATCATTTCCCCCAAGCATCGCCACAAGGTAATCCGGAAACTTCGAAGCATCATGACAGCAGCGAACGACCCAACGCTGCACAAACAACCCAGCCATGGCAAGGCGATGGTGTGTCGCCGCTGACCGTGCCAGCTCTCCCTTCACGCAGTTTGGGCGATATACGGCGGATGAACCACCGACTAGCAGTTCATCTACCGGGCGCGGCTCAGCCTGCTGCCACTCAACAGAGCGCGTTCAGGGGCCTCGGCCGTCGACCAGCGGTGCAGGGCGTGTGGCTACCAGCAAGAAACCTTGCCACACGTCTGCCACTGCATGGCCCGAAGCCAGGCCCTGACTCGGCGTCAA